CCTTTAATCCCAGCACTCGGGAGGCAGAGGCAGGCGGATCTCTGTGAGTTCGAGACCAGCCTGGTCTACCTAGTGAGTTCCAGGACAGGCTCCAAAACAATACAGAGAAGCCCTGCCTCGAAGAAAAACAAAAAACAAACAAAATAATCCTCGGATAATAAGGAGAATTGCGTCCCCAAATTCCTGTCTGAGTTTTGTACACGACCCGAGTCCCTCGGCCTTACCCCCGGGTAGTCAACACACGTCTACACAGCGTCAGCTGCTGCTCGGCACCCCCAAGCAGGGAAGCAAAGTGACAGGGGAAGCAAAGTGACAGGCCCAGACCCCCCCAGCGCTTCCCCACCGGACGCACTTCACCCCCGGGGACAGACCCTCACCCTCCTCGTCGTCCTGCTCGGCCGCGGCGCCAGCCCAGTCCTGCGCGTCGCCGTCGGGCCCCGCCGCCTCCTCCTCCTCGGAGCCCGAGCCCTGGCTGAAGTCGATGCGCTGCGCCAGGCGCGCCAGGTTCTGGGACATCGACAGCGGCTGCAGGTACGTCTCGGTGCCATCGAGGCCCACCTCCTGCACCTGCTTCTCGCAGGCCGACTCAATGCTGATGCGCACGGCTCGCACGCCCGACATGCTGGCAAGCGGCCTGCGGACCTCACGGCCAGGACGCGGAGACGGACGAGCAGGCGCGGGAGAGACAACGCGAAAGCCGCCCGCCGCCGCCGCCGCCGAGACGGAAGCCGGCCCTTCAACACCTCCCCTACAACGCTCCGCGCCGCGTCTCGCGGAACAGTAGGAGCAGGCGTGGAGGGCCAGCCGCCCGGACACTTCCGGTGTGCTGCACCGGGGGAGCCGGGGAGCTTCCGGTTGTCGGAGACGCCGCTGCTGCCGGGAAGGCCGGTTGGGCCGGGCTTAAGACACGGGGCCCTGCAGGTTTCTTAGTTGGAAGTTAATTGGTTGCTTGGCTTTTGAAATGGCTTCTTTCCTTTCCTATTGACTTGATTAATTTGTTTTTGTTTTGTTTTGGTTTGGTTTTTTTTTCGAGACAGGGTTTCTCTGTATTGCTTTGGAGGCTGTCCTGGAACTCACTCTGTAGACCAGGCTGGCCTCGAACTCACAGAGGAGATCCGCCTGCCTCTGCCTCCCGTGTGCTGGGATTAAAGCCTCTGCCTCCCGAGTGCTGGGATTAAAGGCGTGCGCCACCAACGCCCGGCTTTTGATTTGATTAATTTGTTAATTGGTTATTGAGACACGCGGCTCCCTTGGTGAATTATTGATTAGATATTTTTCAAACGGGGAAGTTTACCCCTCCCCCAACACACACACACACAGACTTGTCATTAGCGAAACGGGGAAGCTTACTCCTCCCCCAACACACACACACACACACACACACACAGACTTGTCATTAGCGAAACAAATGCCTGTTACTGGGCTGTATAAGCAGGCTACTCCTCAGATAGACAGCCAAGAGGCACATTTCATGGTGTTGTGATGTCGGGTTCGTTACTGAGTGGCCTTTCCCTGCTTACTTTCAGTAATGTAGGCAGCACTGGAAAAAGCAAGGAACATTAGCAGCTTGGCAGGTACTAAACCCCTACCTCTGTCCGGTGATTTTGTTGGGTGGTTGGTTTTTTTTTTTTTTTTTCCGAGACAGGGTTTCTCTGTGGCTTTGGAGGCTGTCCTGGAACTCACTCTGTAGACCAGGCTGGTCTGGAACTCACAGAGATCCGCCTGCCTCTGCCTCCCAAGTGCTGGGATTAAAGGCGTGTGCCACCAACGCCCGGCAGGGTGGTTGGTTTTTTGAGACAGGGTTTCTCTGTGTAGCTCTGGCTGTCCTGGAACTCACTCTTTAGACCAGGTTGGCCTTTGATGCCACTTTGAGTCGGATGCTGGGCTCCTGAACAACCTTGCCTTGTCCAGTAATCATTTGTAAGTCTTTGGGCCCTTGCTTCCCAAGATGACTTGCTACTGACAATGTCCACAGGCCAGTGTGCCCCTGGTGGTGCTGGTGCAGTCACTACAGCTGTGGAGATGCCATCACTGTAGGAGATGCTTCCTGAGAGGGTCGAGTTGGGCCCAGCGTCCAGAGTCTGAACAGCCTTCTAGGTGCCCTGGCTCTCAAACACTGTTCTAGCATGCCACAGGTAGTTATGACCATGGCACTGACAGCTGAAGATGCCAGAAAGTTCTCAGAGAGTGCCATTTGACAATGCCCCCAACCCCGCCACTGTCACACCGAGGGAAAGCTGCGGGAGACCAACATTCTACAAGCCTGTCTACCTTGGATTTCCACCCAGGTAGAGCAGACAGCACTCAGCCAGCTCAGCGGCGATGAGTATCAGTTCTTTCCGGTTAGACTTAATTCTGTGGCAGTCCAATCCCAGCAGAGGGGTGTGTGTGTGTGTATGTGTGTGTCCCTGATGCATGCATGTGCAGTGTGTGTGTGTCCCTGATGCATGCATGTGCAGTGTGTGTGTGCCCCTGAATGCATGCATGTGTAGTGTGTGTGTGTCCCTGATGCATGCATGTGCAATGTGTGTGTGTCCCTGATGCATGCATGTGTAGTGTGTGTGTGTCCCTGATGCATGCATGTGCAATGTGTGTCCCTGATGCATGCATGTGCAGTGTGTGTGTCCCTGAATGCATGCATGTGCAGTGTGTGTGTGCCCCTGATGCATGCATGTGTAGTGTGTGTGTGTCCCTGATGCATGCATGTGCAATGTGTGTCCCTGATGCATGCATGTGCAGTGTGTGTGTCCCTGAATGCATGCATGTGCAGTGTGTGTGTGTCCCTGATGCATGCATGTGCAGTGTGTGTGTCCCTGAATGCATGCATGTGCAGTGTGTGTGTGCCCCTGATGCATGCATGTGCAATGTGTGTGTCCCTGATGCATGCATGTGCAGTGTGTGTGTGTCCCTGATGCATGCATGTACAGTGTGTGTGTCCCTGATGCATGCATGTGCAATGTGTGTGTCTCTGCATGCATGCATGTGCAGTGTGTGTGTGTGTCCCTGATGCATGCATGTGCAGTGTGTGTGTCCCTGAATGCATGCATGTGTAGTGTGTGTGTGTGTCCCTGATGCATGCATGTGCAGTGTGTGTGTCCCTGAATGCAGGCATGTGCAGTGTGTGTCCCTGATGCATGCATTGCAGTGTGTGTGTGCCCCTGATGCATGCATGTGCAATGTGTGTGTCCCTGATGCATGCATGTGCAGTGTGTGTGTCCCTCAATGCATGCATATGCAGTGTGTGTGTGTGTGTGTGTGTGTGTGTGTGTGTGTGTGTGTCCCTGATGCATGCATGTGCAGTATCCAGGGAGGTCAGGAGATGGCACTGGCATCTCTGGAGCAGGAGTTAGTCAGTTGGGAGCTGCCTGATGTGGTTGGTAGGAAATGAACTCAGGTCCTCTGAAGAGCAGCAAGCCCTTCTGAGCCATCTTTCCACTGCCAATTCTACTTTTGGTGCTTGACTGCTGTGATGGTTTGAATGAAATTGCCCCATACACTTATAGGGAGTGGCATGATTGGGGGCGTGGCCTTGTTGGAGGAAGTGTGTCACAGGGAATGGACTTTGACGTTTCAGACGCTCAGGCTAGGCCCATTGGCTCACTCTTCCTTTCCGCTGCCTGAGGATTGAGATGTAGAACCCTCAGTGCCTCTCCAGCACCATGTCTGCCATGCTTCCAGCCATGATAATGGACTAAACATCTGGACTGTAAACCATCCCCCAATTAAATGTTTCCTATGTAAGTTACCGTGCCTTGTTTCTTCACAGCAATAGAAACCCCAAGACAACCACTAACAGCCTTTAAAACATACGACCCCCATTTTACCTTTTTGTTTGTTTGTTTGTTTTTTGAGACAGGGTTTCTCTGTATTATTTTGGAGGCTGTCGGTCCAGCCTGGCCTCGAACTCACAGAGATCCGCCAGCCTCTGCCTCCCGAGTGCTGGGATTAAAGGCACGCGCCACCAACGCCTGGCTCCATTTTACCTTTTACTATACAGTTTGACAAACCTACAGCACCCACATGTGTCTTTGATACCTGTGGGAAATCCAGAGCTCATGCAGGAACCATTAAAGCCAGTCTTTCCCTGTTCTGTGAGGCCATTTTATTTTTTTTCCAGACAGGCCTAGTAGCTGTCCTAATCTGTCTAGAAACCTTTTTTTTTAAACATTTATTATGTATACAGTGTTCTGTCTGCATGTATGCCTGCACACCAGAAGAGGGCACCAGATCTCATTACAGATGGTTGTGAGCCACCATGTGGTTGCTGGGAATTGAACTCAGGACCTCTGGAAGAGCAGTCAGTGCTCTTAACCTCCAGCCATCTCTCCGGTCCTAGAAGCCTTCATTACATCACAGTTATACTTGGCTGTATCTGATTTCATCGGTCTTGATATTGGAACCAAATTAAGGAAACAAATCCATCGTCACTGCGTGGGACCCCACAAGGAAATGTAATTCTCCTTACATCCCACCGGTATTTGTTTGATTTTTTTCCAACCAAACGTATCCAGGATCTAGTGACAAGTCTGGCTTAGTCATCCAGCCAGCCAGCCAGTCTTTACTGTATGTTTATTTTGGCACTGTGCTACGATGGTGAGTTAACACCTCACTCAGCTCCAGAGGGCAGGGAAATGAAATGAAAGAACACTAATGCAGGGCTGGGGAGATGATAAAGTCCTTGCTGCAGGAGTGTGAAGATTGGAGTTTGGACCTGCAGAACCCACATTAAAAAGCAGGTGGGTATGGCAGCTCATTGTAATCCCAGTGCTCAGGAGGTGAAGGCAGTGTCACTCCGAATAATTAGCCTAGCTCAGTCAGCAAGCGTTGAGTTCAGCAAGCCTCAGTATTCAAGGCAGAGAGAAATCAAAGATACTGGGCATGACCTCTGGCCCCATATGCACATGCACTCACACGTACTCACACAGGAGGACATGCACACATGTAGCATACACATTTTTAAAAAATACGTTTGTTTAGGTAAGATACTAAAAGAAGCAGTATCACATTAAATATGATTTTATTCAGTTTTGCCTCAAAAGCATGTTTATTTAAAAATAATTTGGGGACTTATACTCACAAGTCATGTGCATTACAAAGTAAAGAATCAGAACATTTATGGCTTAGTTCTAAGGAGTTCCGGGACCCACACCTTGTCAACATTATCATGGAGAATTGATTTCTGGATAACGATCGCAGGTTCTATAGTACAGAATAGCAAGGAGTTTTCGAACCATCATCACCACACACTAACCACCATCACACGGCAATAGTGTCCTTTTTTTGAAAAATATAAAAAGATTTCTTGAATGTAGTTATATTGGGAAGAGTAACACACAGGTGTTTGGATTCCCACCCTTCCTCCATCATCCTGCCAAGTCCATGGTGGGGTCCTGGCATGAGGTTGAGGTTTAAGGAGGAGCCAAGAGGTATGCCTAATTAGGTATTCCTGTTCCCAATAATCTCCTTCACAAGAAGATGAAGGAATTATGCGTATCACGTATCCATATCCCTGCATTTCAAATGCCATAAAATGTTTGCATAGTGGAGTTACTCTTACTGTTTTTCTTCTGTGCCGGGGGTTAAGCTGGGGTTAAGCTTGCTAGGGAAGCACTCTCTCCCTGTCCCTGTCCTGGATTTTTTGAATTAGTATCAGCTCCTGCGTTAGTGAATTAACCTTAGCCAATCACTGCTTCTTCTAAGCAAGCATCAGCTGCTTTAATCTCTCCCAAATGCATGGGTGTCTTTGGGCTGATCAATGCGATAGAGGAACTGTGCGGGTGAGAAGTAGCCGAGATACTCCACTGTGTCTGGGGTAGTGTCATAGTGGTAATGTCCACCTTCTCCGTGACGACTGAAGAAATGAGTGTGCTCCAGCCGCAAGTCAAGCCCCTAGGATAGCAGACAGTCTTGTTGGTATGGATTCAAGTTATCTTGGTTACAGTGTACTCAAGGGGAAGGGGAAGCCTTCTGTTACTTTTTAAAAGTCTTTTAAAATTGTTTTGATTCTTTGAGATAGGAACTTACCATGTGGCTGAGACTAGCTTTGAACTCCCAATCTTCCTACCTGCATCTCCTGAATCATAGGCATCTATCACTAACCCTGCAATTAAATGTTTTGTTAGTGCTGGTGCTTGAATCCTGGCCCCATGCACGCCAGGCCTCTGTTACTGAGCCACATCTCCAGCTGACTAGTGTTTAAGTAAGCAGTGGAGTCCCAGCTGAGAAAAGGATGCAAGAGAGTAGTCAGGTAGAGACACTACAGTGTAACTCCCTCCTTTCCTTCCTCCCCTCTCTTATACGTCCTTCTGGTAAGACCTTTAACATTTTTATTCAACTGCAGCTTTCTACCCTATTCTGCATATTATTTATTTAAAAAATTAACAACATAGCCGGGCGGTGGTGGCGCACGCCTTTAATCCCAGCACTCGGGAGGCAGAGGCAGGCGGATCTCTGTGAGTTCGAGGCCAGGCTGGACCGACAGCCTCCAAAACAATACAGAGAAACCCTGTCTCATAAAAACAAAACAAAATTAACAACATAGGGGACAGGGGAGATGCCTTAGTGGTTAAGAGCACTGGCTGCTCCTCCAGAGGACCCAGGTACAATTCTCAGTATCCATGTGGCAGCTGTAACCATCTGTAACCCAGTTCCAGGGAATGTGACACCCTCTTATAGCCTCCAGGGACACCAGGCACACATATGGTACACACACATACATGTATGCAAAACATCCATACACATAAAAGTAACAAAATTTAGTTTTTATATAGGTTAAGATCTTTGTCTCTGAGAGATTAAATGCTTTGGCTTTGATATCTATATGCCTTCTGCTCAGGGACTCATGTGTCAATAGACACATTTGCAATATTTCTACAAAATCTTGTCACTGGTAATCTTTTAACTGATAATCTTACAGTCTTGTAAAGATAGAAATCTAACAGTCACTGCTCCAAAGGCTTCCCCATCACTATTTTGGCAGGCACTTTCTTTGAACTGGTGGACAGCACATTGTTTCAAGTCTGTAGCATTAGAATATGATGAACACCAAAAACAAAAGTAGGAGACCTAAATCTTATTATTATTTTTTTAAGGCTGGGTCTCATTTTGTAGCCCAGGCTGGCCTGGATCTCATAGAGATCCTAAGGAGTACTGGGAATAATGGTATGTTCCACCATGCCCAACTCTTTTATTATTTAATAGAACAACTTCTGTGTAATTTAAAATGCCTGTTCTTTTACTTTCTTGAAGGTAAAGTCTGCTCTGCCCAATGCTCAGTGTAGAAAGCTATGTATTCCCTCATCTTTTATGACAGTTCCCATAAACTGGGCATGGTGACATATGCCTGTAACCTCAGCATTTTGGAGGCAGATGTAGTCAGGAGGATCAGAAGTTCTGGGTCATCCTTGGTTACATAAGGAGTAGGTTGTGGCCTGGATTGATGCATGAGGTCAAAAAATAAAAAAAACAACAGTCAGATGAGATGGTACATGCCTTTAATCCCAGCACTTGAGAATCAGAAGCAGGTGCCTGGTTTACATAGTGAGTTCTAGGATAGCCCAGGCTGTGTAGAGAGACTCTGTGTCAAACCCCCAAAACAAGAGAGATAATCCACAAGGTACCCTCATGCTTAAATAACAATACCCACGAGGATGGCAAGATGGGTCACAGCTGGCAAAAGTGCTTGTGGCCACGCCAGGCAACCTGAGTTTGATCTGCGTACTCATGTTAGGAGAACACTGAGAACAAGGCGTTATCTGACGCACACACACACGCGCGCACACACACACACAATAAGCATACTTTAAAAATGAGCAGGAAGCATTATCACTGAGTATAAAAGGCAGATGAAGACTCACCGGGTCTTTGGAGATGAAAACTGGTAGACAAACTAAAGGAGCTTTCATCTCATAAAAATGCAGCCACTTATTAACAGCTTCATCTGAGTTCAATGGGCAGGACGAAAACTCTGCGGGCTGCAAGAAAATTGTTGAACAGGAAAACACACCGAATATTAAATGAGAATTTAAAAGTTTAAAATATGTTCTCATTGTAAACTTTGTACATCTCACTGATGGGTTTTGACATTAATTACATACCCCAGTTTTAAGGCTAGCCAACCAATTTGTACAAACTGAAGCTTATTTCTAAATTAATGAAGGAGTGAGGCAATTACTATCTCCTGTTACTTTTCATGGATCTGCAGTCTTTCTGCTGTATATATTTTCTATTTTATGTGTGATTTTAATTTAATTCAATTTCTTGTGATCTTGGGAACTGAACCTGGGGACTTGTTGATACTCTGTGCAAGTACTGTACCTGAGCCATGGCCCCAGCCCCTCCCCATTCTAAAACATGTGCGTGTCCAGTTTCCCCATTGGCTGGTGTTGGCACTCTTGCTGAAAAATCTTTCACCCAGGCAGGAGAAATGACTTAGTGGTTAAGAACACCTGCTGCTTTTGCAGAGGCCCTGGATGCAATCTCCATCACCTACATAGTGGCTCACAATCAACTCCAGTTCCAGGGGACCCAATGCCTTCTTTGGGCTCCATGGGTACCAGGCATGCACATAGTGCACACACATACATGCAGGCAAAACATGGGAACACATCAGAATAAAATGGTTTCCTTTGGCCTGCGGAAGCAAATTGCTGGCCCCACTCTAATTTCTTTCAGAAGTGTTTAGTTTCTGTTTATGACCTCTCACCTCCTTGTTTAAGCTTATTACAAAGCACTTTATTGTCTTTAGTGCCTCTATCAACTTGTCGTGCCTTGTCTCTCTCCACCCACTTGTCTTCCCGGCAGCAATCATGAGATCAAACTCAGTGGAGAGACCTGGACTTGCATGCACAGGCCCTAGGTTTGATCCTGTCACTGACGAAAAAGCAAAAGACTAGGGTGGAAGGACTGAGCAGAGAAAGCTGGGTAGTTCTGGGACAGAGTGCTTGCCTAGAAGGCAGGAGGTCCTGGTTTCAGTCCACAGAACACAGAGGAAACATTTTAGGGATGAAGGTAATCTCTACACCATATACAGGTTACCTTCAATGGCACAAAAGTTCGTACCATGTAAGCATAGTGACCTGAATTTGATCCCTGACATCTACGATGGAGGAAAAAGCTCAACATACTATTTAAAAAAGGTAATTAATGTATGTGTGCATAATGGGATGTGTGTATGGCCATGTGGATAACAGAGGTCAGAGGACAATTCAGAGTCTGTTTCCTCTTTCTACCTTTAAGTGGGATCTGGGTATTAAACTCTTATCTCCAGCCTCCAGAGCAGGCAACTCTCAGCCTGAGGACAGACTTCTCAAGTTGTCCCCTACCTCCACATACACATGCATAATAATAAACACACGGATAAATTAGAAAGGAAAACTACACTGTTTAGGGAAGATCGAGCTGTCAGTACTCATGAAGACTCTCTGAGAACTTGGTCCAATGTTGAGAGTGGCTCAGCAGCACAGGCCTCCTCTAGTGTGAGCTCTTACAGCACAGGCCTCCTCTAGTGTGAGCTCTCACAGCACAGGCTTCCTCTAGTGTGAGCTCTTACAGCACAGGCTTCCTCTAGTGTGAGCTCTTACAGCACAGGCTTCCTCTAGTGTAAGCTCTTACAGCACAGGCCTCCTCTAGTGTGAGCTCTTACAGCACAGGCTTCCTCTAGTGTAAGCTCTTACAGCACAGGCTTCCTCTAGTGTGAGCTCTCACAGCACAGGCCTCTAGTGTAAGCTCTTACAGCACAGGCTTCCTCTAGTGTGAGCTCTTACAGCACAGGCCTCTAGTGTAAGCTCTTACAGCACAGGCTTCCTCTAGTGTGAGCTCTCACAACACAGGCCTCTAGTGTAAGCTCTTACAGCACAGGCTTCCTCTAGTGTGAGCTCTTACAGCACAGGCTTCCTCTAGTGTAAGCTCTCACAGCACAGGCCTCTAGTGTAAGCTCTTACAGCACAGGCTTCCTCTAGTGTGAGCTCTTACAGCACAGGCCTCTAGTATAAGCTCTTACAGCACAGGCTTCCTCTAGTGTGAGCTCTTACAGCACAGGCCTCTAGTATAAGCTCTTACAGCACAGGCTTCCTCTAGTGTGAGCTCTTACAGCACAGGCCTCTAGTGTGAGCTCTCACAGCACAGGCCTCTAGTGTAAGCTCTTACAGCACAGGCTTCCTCTAGTGTGAGCTCTCACAGCACAGGCTTCCTCTAGTGTGAGCTCTTACAGCACAGGCCTCTAGTGTGAGCTCTCACAGCACAGGCCTCTAGTGTAAGCTCTTACAGCACAGGCTTCCTCTAGTATGAGCTCTCACAGCACAGGCTTCCTCTAGTGTGAGCTCTCAGCACAGCACAGGCTTCCTCTAGTGTGAGCTCTCACAGCACAGGCTTCCTCTAGTGTGAGCTCTTACAGCACAGGCTTCCTCTAGTGTGAGCTCTTACAGCACAGGCTTCCTCTAGTGTAAGCTCTTACAGCACAGGCTTCCTCTAGTGTAAGCTCTTACAGCACAGGCCTCCTCTAGTGTAAGCTCTTACAGCACAGGCTTCCTCTAGTGTGAGCTCTCACAGCACAGGCCTCTAGTGTAAGCTCTTACAGCACAGGCTTCCTCTAGTGTGAGCTCTTACAGCACAGGCCTCTAGTGTAAGCTCTTACAGCACAGGCTTCCTCTAGTGTGAGCTCTCACAACACAGGCCTCTAGTGTAAGCTCTTACAGCACAGGCTTCCTCTAGTGTGAGCTCTTACAGCACAGGCCTCTAGTATAAGCTCTTACAGCACAGGCTTCCTCTAGTGTGAGCTCTTACAGCACAGGCCTCTAGTGTGAGCTCTCACAGCACAGGCCTCTAGTGTAAGCTCTTACAGCACAGGCTTCCTCTAGTGTGAGCTCTCACAGCACAGGCCTCTAGTGTAAGCTCTTACAGCACAGGCTTCCTCTAGTGTGAGCTCTCACAGCACAGCACAGGCCTCTAGTGTGAGCTCTCACAGCACAGGCTTCCTCTAGTGTGAGCTCTTACAGCACAGGCCTCTAGTGTGAGCTCTCACAGCACAGGCCTCTAGTGTAAGCTCTTACAGCACAGGCTTCCTCTAGTATGAGCTCTCACAGCACAGGCTTCCTCTAGTGTGAGCTCTCAGCACAGCACAGGCTTCCTCTAGTGTGAGCTCTCACAGCACAGGCTTCCTCTAGTGTGAGCTCTTACAGCACAGGCTTCCTCTAGTGTGAGCTCTCAGCACAGGCTTCCTCTAGTGTAAGCTCTTACAGCACAGGCTTCCTCTAGTGTGAGCTCTTACAGCACAGGCTTCCTCTAGTGTGAGCTCTCAGCACAGGCTTCCTCTAGTGTAAGCTCTTACAGCACAGACTTCCTCTAGTGTGAGCTCTCAGCACAGCACAGGCTTCCTCTAGTGTGAGCTCTCACAGCACAGGCTTCCTCTAGTGTAAGCTCTTACAGCACAGGCTTCCTCTAGTGTAAGCTCTCACAGCACAGGCCTCTAGTGTAAGCTCTTACAGCACAGGCCTCTAGTGTGAGCTCTTACAGCACAGGCTTCCTCTAGTGTGAGCTCTTACAGCACAGGCTTCCTCTAGTGTGAGCTCTTACAGCACAGGCTTCCACTAGTGTAAGCTCTTACAGCACAGGCTTCCTCTAGTGTAAGCTCTCACAGCACAGGCCTCTAGTGTAAGCTCTTACAGCACAGGCTTCCTCTAGTGTGAGCTCTTACAGCACAGGCTTCCTCTAGTGTAAGCTCTTACAGCACAGGCTTCCTCTAGTGTAAGCTCTCACAGCACAGGCCTCTAGTGTAAGCTCTTACAGCACAGGCTTCCTCTAGTGTGAGCTCTCACAGCACAGGCTTCCTCTAGTGTGAGCTCTCACAGCACAGGCTTCCTCTTCCTCTAGTGTAAGCTCTCACAGCACAGGCCTCTAGTGTAAGCTCTTACAGCACAGGCTTCCTCTAGTGTGAGCTCTTACAGCACAGGCTTCCTCTAGTGTGAGCTCTCACAGCACAGGCTTCCTCTAGTGTAAGCTCTTACAGCACAGGCTTCCTCTAGTGTGAGCTCTCACAGCACAGGCTTCTAGTGTGAGCTCATACAGCACAGGCTTCCTCTAGTGTAAGCTCTTACAGCACAGGACTCTAGTGTAAGCTCTCAGCACAGGCTTCCTCTAGTGTAAGCTCTCAGCACAGGCTTCCTCTAGTGTGAGCTCTTACAGCACAGGCTTCCTCTAGTGTGAGCTCTTACAGCACAGGCCTCTAGTGTAAGCTCTCAGCACAGGCTTCCTCTAGTGTGAGCTCTTACAGCACAGGCCTCCTCTACTGTAAGCTCTTACAGCACAGGCCTCCTCTAGTGTGAGCTCTTACAGCACAGGCTTCCTCTAGTGTAAGCTCTTACAGCACAGGCTTCCTCTAGTGTAAGCTCTTACAGCACAGGCCTCCTCTAGTGTGAGCTCTTACAGCACAGGCTTCCTCTAGTGTGAGCTCTTACAGCACAGGCTTCCTCTAGTGTGAGCTCTTACAGCACAGGCCTCCTCTA